CTGGCAATGCTTATGTTGCAGTAAAATCCAAGATGTTAAGAGGACACTCCTAAAAAATATCCTTTCATATTTAAACATCTGTTCTCAGCAGGTTTTTTTGCGAATTAGATGAGTTAAACCCCAGCCCCGAGCCAAAACCCAGCTCTGTTTATTACACAGGGGCAACCTTCATCCCTCCTCTAGGTGTGGTTTCCCCACTTTGTCCTGGTCCCATCGTGCTGTAGGTCGGCTCTTCAGCAAGGGAACTGGTCTCCCCTGCTCTTAAGCACCCACCTTACCAGCTCATTTCAGCTGGGTAAAGGTATATTCAACACAAGGCAGCACCTTGAGCAGCAACAGAGATGAAGCAGGCTTGGGAACATTTACTCCTAACCATTACCTTCCATATCAACCTCTTGGAGTTTCCCTCTCTACATCTCACTGGCTTCTCTCTTGCAGTTATTTTTCTCTGGACAGCGTGTGGCAGCAGACAACGCTGGCTCTGTGCTCTCTTCTCAAGCCCAGCTTTTTCCATATGCTGTTTCACAGCATATCAGGTCAGACTCACAGGACATGAGGTCTCTGCATCAAAGCAAACATCTGAAGAACCGTAAACACTAGAAATAAATTTTCCAGGAAGTTTTGGGTCAGAACTGTAGAAAAACCCAAATGAAGATGATATCTGGGAAAAGGTTTGGAAAACCAAGTGACGGAGGCTGGCTCTGCGATGTTCACATTGCCTTTGCTACACACAAGTTAATGCTAGAAAGGCAGATTAATATATAAACCTGTTCACTGAAGGGTAACACCAGTCCAGCAGTTCACAGTGGGGAAGATGAAGATTTTCCTGCTTGCTCCATGGAGACCAAATTTTATTATTTTCTTCTCAGAGTGTAGCAAAAGCTGTCTAAGGTAGTTTGACGTCTAAACAAACTTCTGATGGACATTCACTGGTCTGCTTCTAAAAAATCCACAGTAAATATCTGAACCAAGATCTCCAGGCTCTCTCCAAATGTGCCAGGGTGTCCTCACAGTGCAAGGCAGGAATGCCCAGGTCCTGACAGTGGTCGGCCAGCATCAGTGGTGCTGTGGAGGACAGCTAAGAAGACGCAACACCTCCCCATGCCACATCCCAGGGAAGTGGATACCTTGTGAGGGGACCTTAGGATGTCTGGGAAGCATGTGAGAAACCACCCTTTTAGTCAACAAGCAAGACGGAGAGATTCATTCTGACATTATGTATTTTAACTTTGAGTTTTAATCCTTTTTGTGATTAATACAGATGACCACAAAAACCTCCATAGCTTTCCAGAACTATTATACCAAGGGATATCTATCTCTGTTGAAGGCTTGCTGAAAATACACCAAATATTAGGAAAGAAAACAAAACCTAAACACATGTGCTGTGATATTGTTACAAGACCAGTTCCTTCTGTGAACTAACTGCAAATAACCTAAAAAATTTCTGGTGGGAACAAAAACCTGAAAAAACACAGCTCCCCGGGTTCTGTTTTGGTTATTGTGTCAGAGGGTGCCTGTTATTTTACCAGCAAGGAAACTCTTCATGTGTTTGACTCTCTGGTGCTCCCATAATAACTACTGATAGGACTGCAGCTGCCCATCATGCCTTGCCGGGTGAACAGCGGTACAGCCCAGAACAACACCCCTCCCAAATGCTGGTGCTGGGACCCTCCTGGGGTGTTGCCCCTGCCCAGGGAACCTGTCTGTGGGGCACAGGGTGTGTTGATGTCTGACTTCCATCCTCTCCACCCCCTCCTTGCACTAATGCTGCTGAGTGCAAAGGCTGGGCTGGGCTGGTCCTTGCACTGGCTAGAGCCGTGAAGATCTGTCCTGTGGCCAGGGGGCTGCTTCAGGGGTTGGAGCCAGAGAGCAAAACCTGAGGAAGCAAAAAGCTCAGGCACTGCATCAGAGGGGAACAACAATTCTCTGGCTTCGATAGAGAAAAAGCCTGGACTATGAGGTCTCACTTTGAGGTTGAGAGGTGGGATAGGGTCTGTGAGACCATCCCAGTGACCATGGGCTGGGGACAAGGCACGGAACAAACAACTCCAGTGGAACTGGCTGCAGTTTTTCGCATGCCCTATCCCTTCTCAGGTGAAAGACTGTCAGGAGAGAGAAGACTGACAGTGCTGCCTGTAGTCTGGGGCTAGGGTGAGATATGGGGTGAGGTAGAGTCAGTCTGGTTTATTCACATACTCAGTGAATGAGCAATCTTAAAATAAGATCTGAAAAAAAATTCACGTTTTGTCCTGGCAATTGCATGTGTCAACTCCACTTTGGCCTTTGCTCTTAAAAGTCCAGTCAAATACTTTAGCAGGGTAAATCAGTGCTAGTGGCTTTGATGAATAACGGTAATCTTAAAATAATTCCACGTTCCTCAAATAAATGTGATAGTTTGGACAAGACTTGGGTGTCAATATGTACAAGTGTGTGCATATGCATGCATGCATTTGTATCTCCACAATTAAATCTTTTATTAGAAGGCATTGATTGCCAGGTTTGAAGAGTGCTGTCTAACAGAGGTAGGCATCCTTTCACACACAGCATACATCCTTTTCTTTCCCAGAGCAGAGGCTGAGGGTGCCAGCACAGCTGGAGTCAGGAGAGACCACCCACCATGTTAAGTCCAGCATCATCATCCAAAAGAGCTCCTGGGCTCCCATAGGATTTGGGAGAAGCCAGGAGCCAGCGCCGCTGGCATTCTCAACACTGTGCTTTGGATGCAAAGGTTCCTGGCTCATTGCTGGCTTGGCTGTGTGCCATCCAAAACTGATCCACATGCTGTACTTGGCACTTGCACTACACACTTCCAACCCTTGCTCTTGACGATCAGCCAAGATATTATCCACTGGCCCTGCTGGTTGAAAGACACCAGTCCATCATAAAGAGGAATTTGATAGCTGATTTTCGTTAATTTTCCTGAGGAGTCATGTACTTATCAGGCCTTTAGCTTTTGGAAAATCTCAGAGTCCTTCCGTGCCACTGTAAACCACGGCAGCATTTAAGGTCACTGTTGCTCAAACACTTTCCTGGCTCCAGTAGTGATCTGCTTCAAAACACAAGGCGTTTGGCTCATTTTGACAGCTGGTTTATGGAGCCAAGTGAATTCACTTCCAGCTGAATCTGAGGGACTGTCCTGGAATGAACTGTTTCCATGGGGGCAGCCAGGAAACTTTCCAGGAGGTTCCAGTCCTTCAGAGACAGCCTGCAGGGATGGAGGCGGAGGAGAAATTTGTTCACTTCTTGCTGGGAAGTTTTTGTCTCTGATGCTTGCAGAGCCTGTCCCCTTGGGACATTTTGTTTGGGGATATTTAATTCCACATTCAGCTCCGCCATTTCCTCCTCAGCAAGCAGGCCTCATCACTTCTCCTTTCTCCTGCACCTGCCTCAGATCCAAAACAGCTTCTTTGTGACCACCCTGGCTCTGGACCCAGACATGTGAAACCACACCCCCAGACTCGCAGATGATCTACTCTTCCTACAGAACATCCTTCACAGAGTCACAGAATGATTTGGGTGGGAAGGGACCTTTAAAGGTCATCCAGTTCAAAGCCCCTGGCATAAGCTGGGACACCTTCCACTAGACCTGGTCTCTCAGAGCCCAGTCCAACCTGACCTTGAATGTTTCCAGGGATGGGGCATCTGTCACCTCTCTGGGCAACTTGTGCCAGTGTTTCACCACCCTCATTGCAAAAAAATCTCTTCCTTATACCTAGTCTGAATTTCCCATCTTTTAGTGTAAAACCATACTCCTTGTCCTATCGCTGCAGGTCCTGCTAAAAAGTCTGTCCTCGTCTTTCTTGTAAGCTACCATTCTTAAGAGATCATCCTGGCAATGATCTGACCTCTTGTGTCATTCCCTCCTCCAGCCCCTCTGTCATGAACTTTAGCTTGGTGATTTGGGAAGAACAAGCAGGATGAAAGGCTCATAGATGCAACCATTGCAGTCAGTGCTAAGGAGGAGCAAGAAGAGTCACACTCTGCATCTCCTGCGTTTATCAGCCTCTGGTTTGGAAGGAGGGGAGCAGCAGCCCCGTGGGACCTGCTCTCCTTCCCACTCACCTGCGTGCTGCAAATAGGGGCTGGAAACCAAGCAGCCACTGTATCCCCCTACTCTCCTCCCCTGGCGGGAATGACAATCTTGCCTTTAATAGGTGCTGTTTAATTTGAGTGATACCTTCCAGAGTGCCCAGCAATTGTTCAAATATTTTACTGTTGAAAGCAAAGAAAGAAGCAGTCTAGGATGGTTGGGGGATCAACTCCACAGGCTCGACAGCTTGTCGAGAAGCAGAGTGACTCCGTCTGTGGGGATGGGCTAAAGAGGTGCCCATTCTTTGGGTGGGAGATTTCCCGAAACTCTACTCCTTTCACTTGTTAATCCCCGACCCAGGAACACCGCCAGAACCGCCACTCAGTGCCACAAACCCGACCCAAATGGCATCGCCCGGGCTGCATTATTCTCCCAAGGTCTGCCAGACCCGTCTGCGAGAGGTGTGCCTGAGTTCAGCCCAGGATTGCTGTTCTTGCTGCATGATCCCAAAAGATGACAACGTCCTCTTCCCAGCTCAGGGAGATGTATGTAAAGATCTGGAGCTAGGGAGGCCCGAGCTAATGGGCTGGAATGGAAAGTTTTGGACGGAAAAGGGGAGCGCGGCACCCTGCCCAAAAAAGCGCGATCAGAAACGGCCGCGCATCCCTCCCCTGCGCCGCCGGCTCCCTCCCCCGGCCTTGGGGCGCTCCGGGGTGGGATTCTCCCACCGAAGGTTCCCGGAGCGGCGGAGCGCCGCGCCCGCCCCGCCCGGGAGAGGCGGCGGCCCGGAGCGCTCCCGGCGGCACAGCCCCGGCCCCGGCGCGGCCCCGGCCATGGGCAGCGGCAGCAGCCGCCGGCGGGGCGCGGCGGGGCCCAAGGGCAGAGCGGCGGAAAACCGGGAGCTGCCGGAGACGGCGCCGGCAGAGAGCGAGGGGGTGGCGGCGCCCGCCCTCGCCTGCCCAGCCTCTGCCGCCGGCGGCATTCCCGAGCCCCGGGCCGCCGGGAGCTGCGGGGCGATGTGGGCAGGCGGCGGCGGGGCTCCGCTCCAGCAGGCGGTAAGTGCCCGCCCCGGCCCCGGTCGGGACCCCGGACCCTCCCGGCGGCGGCCCCGGGACACCCCAGACCAGCCCGGGCGTCCCCGCCTGCCATAGCCCGCTCGTCGCGTCTTCCTCCGAACATAAACCGCACTAAATTCCTTTGATCTTCACTGCGAGCCCGGCTAAATGCTCTCCTTTTCTCTTTGCTGCTCTACTTGCGTTTTCTGTCTCTTGGGCAAGGGAAACACCGTCCCGAGAGGGGCCATCCCGTTTTCCAGTCTCCCGGTGCTACTGGAAGTTTCTTTTCCTGCCTTGTGGAAATAGCTCGACTTTATTGTTCGGGTTCTGGGTCAGGCTTGTAAACAGAAGTTTAAAAATGTGAACATAAAACTGCCCTTTAATGTTTGCCAGTCCGCTGCAACTGCAATCTGGCTCTTCCTAAAGGCGCATTTCAGTCTGTTTCTGTTTAACAAATTACGGATTTGCCACCGAGGGAGTTGAGATTTATCTTTTGTGGGTGTTTTCCAATCCAAAAATAGCAGCAGCATCTATATCATCTGGTGATGAGGCCAAAAATCACCAGCTTCTTTCATCTTAGTTTGGCTTTGCAAGTTGTGTTTTTTTTGTAAGGTAAATGCTGCTCTCCACAGATGCACAAATGTCTTCTGACTAAAGTAATACATTTAAAAATGGAAAGGAATATTTAGGATCCAGGTACTTTCTGCCTTGCATGTCTCAGTTTTGCTCTTTACAAGTGTATCACTTCCATCACCAAACTGTTCATCCATGGGGAAAGGATAACTTTAATACAAAATATTTTTTCCATTAAGAAACTTGACAAGGATCAATATGAGAATCCTTTTTTTAGACAAGTTTTAAAGAAAAGCCTCAAAGAAAGTAAGGCTTGGAAACAGAAGAATAAATAGACATCTTGTATTGACGTATTTTGTCTTTGCTCTTCTTTCTGCTCCAAACCCTCCTGCAGTATGAACAGGAGCTCAGTCCAGCACTGCTTTCTCCTCTGAGGGACTCTCATTTATGAACACTCCTCCTGACTTCTCCCATTTATCTTTACTTATGGGAATAGAGGCTGCTGATATCCATTTTCCCTCCGTTTCCACTTGTGAATATCATGGCTGGATCTTTAAAAATAATAATTACATAAGCTGTGAGTTTTCCTGTGCATAAAGTAGTATTATAGCTCTATTCTGATGTATATTCTAGGTAATTACATAACAGAAAGGCAATGGAGCTGCCCTCATCTTTCTTTACTAGTGTCAGCAGAGAGACAGTCCACTACAGCATTAGATACTAGTGAACCAATGACAAGGAGCAAACCAGAAAGGCTGAGGAATTTAGGATGTTGCCCTTGGGGAGTCACTGTGCCCCACTCCCTGTTGCAGACCTCCTCCTCTGGCAGAAATGGTGGTGAGAAACCTGTAGCATCCCTTCAGCCACTCTGGGTTGTGGTCAGACCTGGTACAGCACAGAGATGTCTGTGAGGGTCCTCAAAACTCAGCCTGGAGCAGGCATGTGGGGCCTTGGTCATCCAGCAAGGCCAAGTGGGTGCAGCACACAATTGTGCCACCTGTGAGGTAACAGTGATGCTGAGCATCCCGTGTGTCCCCTTGTCCAGCTGCTGCTGCCTCTTGTGTGGGAGGAAGTCCTCACCTCTCGTTGCACCCAAATACATTGTCTTAAAGAGAGCAAAGAACTACCAGTGTTTTTCAAATATCTAAAAGACATACAAGAGAAGTCTCAGGTATTTTCAGGGCAAACTGGAAGCTTTTTTACTGGCAGCATTTTCTTTACGTGAACCTGAGATGACCATGGTACAGACAGCGATCGTGGGCTTACCATTCTGACTCCTTAGAGCCTAAAATGTCAATAACCTGAGAAAAGGAGGGAGGAAACTGTTTGCAGCACCAGGTTTTGGTTGTTTACTGGGTGCAATTTAGTCTTTTAGGTTGTTGTACAAACTGCAGTCCTACCCTTCCCATGAGGCTGGTGGAGGAGGTTTCTGGAAAGCGATATCAGCTTTGTTGCATCGCCAGTTCCTTGCTAGAAATTTTGAGGGCAATTTCTCTCAGTCTTGCCAGCTTCTGAAGCACTCATTTGTAGTTTCTCTTTAGTGGTGGGAACTCACTTGCTTTGCCCTGTGCAAAATGGAGGATGAACAAAGAAATTTCAGAGCAAAAAGCATGAGCTGATTCAACAGAATTAATGAGGGAAAGGTGATGCACGAGGAGGAAGTATTACAGGAGAAAAGTCTGATGAGAAATAGCCCACGGAGGAGCAGATTTTGGGTAGCAGGAGTAGAGGAGAGGTTTGACACCAGCCAGAAGTCAGCAGAATTGCAAGCAGGACTCAGCTCTCTGATGTCATGGTTGGGTTTCTCCTGGGCATGATGTGCATCAGTGTCTTGCTTCGCGCCTGAGCCCTAGGACAGTTTGTCAGCAAGTTAGCAGCACCAGTGGGCAGTCAGGCCAGGTGGCAAGGGCTGGTAGAGAGGGATGCACCTGCATTTAGAGGCTTGAGCCACCTCTATTATATTCAAATAGTACTTGGGAGTGAGAAGCGCGAAAGAACATCACAGCAGTCGGCTGGGAACCAAATCCTGATGGGGAGCCTGAACCTGGCTTGGAGCAGACCCCAACACCTCTTATCAGCATCAAATGTCCTTTTTCAGCTTTGCCCTCAATTCTAGATGGTTATACATGTTTTTCCTTGGCTCTTTGCTCAAGACAGAAAAATGTAGTTGTGTTTTTACAGGTGCTGCCTCAGCAGCACCTCAGAGCAGCACCTCAGCACAGGGCAGAGTGGCAGCTCTTAGTGGAAGGCAGGGCAGAAGCTGTGGCCTCAGGCATTTCCCCATTGGTTTCCTGAAATAGAAGAATCACACAGACATGTTAGGATCTTGCTCTTAACAGCTTTTTCCATGGCACCATCACTCCTCCTGATTGGAGACAGGATGTGATTTCAGTAAGTGAATCACTCAAGCTGCAGCATGGGAATAACACAGGTAGAGGGTGCATTCACCAGCTTCTAGAGGGACTATCATACACTTTTAAAACACCCAAGTCTTCAAAGCTTTGCCTGACTTTTTCAGCCAAATAAATATTTTTCTGCAGTTTGGTGTGGCACAGCGTCATCTTGTGGCTGGCTGGTCCCAGCTGCAAACACATGAGGGTCCTGTAGGGACATTTAATGTCATGCCCCATTAGTTTCTTACAGGAACTCAGGTTTATTTTTCTAGTCTTCTAATTTAGCATTGTTAGCAGCTTATTTCAGCATTTTCTTCCTGGTTGTATTAATAGTCAGAAATGCCCTCAAGTCAAGGCATTCTACTACAGTTGTGTAAGGAGTGGGAGGCCTTCAGAAAAGGTCTTTTCCAACTGAACATCTGGGACTCCTTGAACTTCCCAAAGTCAGATTATTTCAGATTCTGCAGTTAATGTCCAGGTGTGGATCTGGCAGTTCCCAAGCTGAAGGTCTCTCTGTCACACACATTATATTCTTTGTCTTGTTAAAAGCACCTGAAACTTCACCAGAGCCCAGAAGCAGCGAGCTGTGCTGTCCCCTCAGCCAGCGTCACCCTCCCAGCACAGCTGTGTTGCAGCTGGACTTGGAAAACTGCTGAATAGTTATTTTCCACAACTCCCCTCCTTCCCTTGGCAGAGCATGGCTTGCTTTTGCCCCGAAGCAATTCTTGATTTAAAAACTAAGCTCAGGACATGCGCAGAATAGCTGGGAGCTGGTGTTTTAGTTGGCAAGAGAGGAGAAGCGTGGGAACTCCCTGCATCCCTGCCTACTTCCCGTTCACCGCCTGCTCCTAATTTCTTTGCTGGCCAGAGGATGTTGCTGCAGACCGGAGCAAGGCTGGGAGTGCTTTGTCTGGGGTGCAGCTGGGGCCACACATCCCATTTGGTACCTACTGACACCTTAGGTAAGCTCTTTTTTTTTTGCCAGCAGTAACTGCCTCCGGGTTCATGAGGGGCTGATTTCAGCAGTGAGGACTGGCTCAGCTCCCACTCCATGTGCTAGCGTCGCTGGAGGGTGCTGCCCTGCTGCTGTACCAGCTCAGCCGTCCGTGCTCTGCTGCTCATGCACTTGTGATGCTCTCCAGCTGACATCGCCTCCATCCCTGCCAAGACAGAGGGTTTGCATTTCAGCTCAGACCAGTCCCCTGGGCATTAGTGAAGCGGGATTTGGGAGGAGCAGAGGCAGGGAAGGAGGCACTGGCTTGCATCCTGCAGAAAAGCCATGCTGTGAAACCACAGCCCAGTGGATCAGCACTGGCAAGGACAACACTGCTCCCATGTAGATGTTTTAGGTGGCTCAGTCATTCTCCAGGCTGCCCTGGCTGTGATAGGACTACTCAGGGTCTTATCTCTACTGCATCTCAGGGCTGTATCTGTACTGATAAATTATACCATAGCAGCTGCCTGGCACTGGACCATGATGGCTGCCCCACTGAGCTGGCATGGTTTTGTTCAGGATCAACTTGCAGTCTCCCAAATAATGCTTAGGCATGGCTCAGGGACCACTACAGGGGCCATCTCTAAGAACGCTTGAATTTGACCTCCCAGTTTTGGAGATGGTGTGATTTCAATACTCAAGACTGTAGTTGACTGTTTCAATGCAGCTCAGGAGCAGCTCAGAGCCTCCAAAGGTGCACAGCTTCAGATCACCCTGTAGGTCCCAGGAGAGGGTGTACTCACCCAGCTCTCCCACAGCTACTGGATGGCAGGACCATGAGGAACTTGCATTGGGTTGGGGGGAGTGGGAAGCTGCATCCCAGGAGTGCTGGTTCATGCACTCAGCACATAGAGAAATAGCTCTTCCTTCCAGCTCTCTGCTCTGCCTTGCTCCCAGGAGCCACTGCCCTAACACAAAGGACAGCTGAACTGCGTGTGCAATGACCGTCAAACCACTCCACCTCACATCTCATTACATTGAATTTAACCTGGGTACATGCTGGGTGAGCTCAATATACAAGCCTTTAAACTTGGAAAAGAGGGTGATGTGGGGCTCTGTGGCACAACAGACCCCAGCACAAGATGCTTACACTGAGGACAGGGTGGAAAACAAGGAGACACGCTGTGGTCTGCATGAGTAATAAAAAGATGACTGCAAGCTGCAGAAAGGAGAAGCTGACTTCATTTATCTCTTAACAGAGCACAGGCCAACCAGGCCAGCAATTGCTTATTTAGCTGTAGGATAGGAACCCATAATATTAAAGTGTCGTGATGTATGCATCATCCTAACCCACATAAAGGGCTTCTACCAATTATGTGCTGAACTTGCAACACACACATTACAGCAATCCTGAACAGGCTGGGTGGGGTCAGTTTTTATTGTGTCTCACAGCCTGTGACAGCCAGTGCTCCGAATCCTGCCTGCTGCCCACCACATGGTGTCACCTGGGCATTGAGGAACCATGTGTACTTTGCCTGGAGGAGTTAGGAGCAGCTCCAAAGCACAGAGGCTCTGATGGCAGGCAAAAGGCAAAGGCTAGAGGTGCCTTTTGCTTTCCTCGCCACCATTTTTGATTCATGCGCCAGATTAAATGTCAGCAGAGATCTACCTGCACTAATGCCAAATTCTCTTGGGAAATAAGTATTGTTGCTGACAGATCCCTTGGAGAAGGTGGGAGCAGGTTTTGCACAGAGAAGCAGATTTTACTAACCAGAGCTGCTCTGTCCTGATGACTAATTAATTCTGTCTTCCACCCACACAACACGTACAACTCGTAACATGGAGGAGTCAGCCACAAGGGAATAAAAAACAGACAACCTACTGTACAATTCAAACCCCTCCCGAAAATGATCCAAACCCATCCTTTGCCCAGAAGAGTTGGCAGATGGGTTCTCACTGTGGGAAGAACAGCATCAAAGCACTCCTGAAGAACTGTATTTCCCTTGGTGCTGAGGATGAATAATGTTATTTCCCTGGTGGAAGGAAACCAGGACAGCAGCAGTAGCCCAGTGGATGATGCTGCATTGTGGGATGCAATCCCAGGAGAAGTCAGCCCTTGGAGCTCAGCATGGTGTTCTCCTGGCGCTGCTTCTTGCTCTTGGAGATTGCCAAGAAATGATGCTAAATAACCAGGCGGGAACTGTCTTCCCTCGCTGTCAGCTTTCTCACATACCCTTGTCTCTGCTTGGACCCAGGAGCTGTTTCTGGACTAGTTCAGGCTCTTCCAGAGAAAATAAAATGTTGCCAAAGAGCAGGGACTCTTCTGAAAGTACGTGGATTCCCTTTTGGCAGGTATCAAACTAAAGCTCTACTTAAGACTGATAATATCTTTTGTCATTTTAAGCAAGCAGCTAGGATGTAAAATATCATGGGTGACAGATATCTTTCCCAGCTCCAGAAATGGAAGCTGCTAAGGGCTCACCTGGAAGAGGTGTTGATCCATGCCCTGAGGGAGGTATCCTTGCTGTAGCCCTCCTCACTGGCTCAAGCATGGGAGCCAAAGGTGGCCACATCAGCACAAAGCCCATGCAAGAAGCAGAGGAGAGCTGAGCAGTTCTCTGCCAAGCACCTCTCTATCTGCCTGGCAGTGTCTGAGACCATGGTGTTTAAACCTCAACTCCTGTCCATCCCCATGAGGAGCAGATGAGGAAGGAGTGTAGTGAAAACATCTCCTTTCAAATTAAAATCAGGTGCCATGAAGTAATTGCAGACACCCAGTTGGACATTTCTACCCAGAGGATGGCACATACAAGCCTGATCAATACCAACTGATTTAAATCAGCTCAAAACTGCATAAAACCATCAATGCTGTACCAGTGCTGCCTGTAGAGGGGTGTCTCCCCTACATAGCTCCCACCCTTACCAGCAGCTATCCCATGCATTGCTGGACCTTGAGAAAGTGCAAGTTTGAGCTATTCAAGATTAGATCTTACTGAGGAATCGCTTGGTCCCATCCAGCCTTTCAGAAACACCATGCAGCAGAGGCATAGGTGATGGCTCTGAATTGCAAGCTTTTCCACACCTCTCCCTGGTTCCTTTGCTTCCACTTCTTGTACAGAAAGAAATATTCTTGTACAATATTTCCCCTTTTCCACACTGACGAAACAACTTTTTGTTTCTATTTTCTGGAAGCCAAATCCTCACTTTGGTTTGGTGTGCTACATATTAGTGTTGTCATGAGATCAGGATAGCTTGTACAAAGGAGGCCTACCAGCTTTAGGATTGCAGCTCAGGAAAAATAGTGGTGAGCCAAGATAGATCTAGTTTTATGCAAAGCCACGTCCCTGTCCCACTCCTTTTTCCCGTGAGAATACAGTGAAAAAGTAAAAAAAAGATGAAAGTTATATTCTTAGTAGCATCTGGCTGCAAGGGGTTCATTTTATTACCAGATGCCTCATTGAAAGCCTGTGGATTCCAGCGTAGGGAATGTGGCTGTTTCACTACAGATGGATCCTTTCAGGGAAGCATCTCTGTCAGGTAAAAAGAGTTGGGTCCATGTTGCAGTAACTTCTTTCCTTAGCAGGTATTTTCATAGTGCAACCTGTCAATCAGTGGGGCAGTGCTCATTCATGAAAAAACTGGGAGGTTTAACAAGTCAGCCAAGGATTTCAGTTCTGTAGCCTGCAGCCACCCAGCTGCCCTGAATGCTAGGATAGAGCAGGCAGAACAGGGCTAGTAAAGGGGAGTTTCTTGTACCTGTATTGTCTCCACAGAGGTTGTTTGGGGGTTTAAATCAGGGCAGACATAGCCCACTATAGACAGAGATAGGTTTCATAGAAAGACATAGTGGTTTGGGTTGGAAGGGACCTTGAAAGATTATCAAGTTCCAACACCCCTGCCATGGGCAGGAACATCTTCAACTAGACCAGATTGCTCAAAGCCCCATCCAACCTGACCTTCAACATTTTCAGGTATGGGGTATCCACAACTCTGCTGGGCAACCACTTTCAGTGCCTCAACACTCCAAAAGTAAAGAGTTTCTTCCTAAGTTCTTATCTAAACCTGCCCTCTTTCAGTTTAAAACTATTGCCCCTCGTCCTGCCACCACAGGTCCTGGTAAAAAGCCTCTCTCCATCTTTCTTAGAGGTCCCTTTTAAGTACTGAAAGGTTGCAATAAGGTCTCCGCAGAACCTTGTGTTCTCCAGGCTGAACAACACCAACTCTCTCAGCCTGTCTTCATAGGAAAGGTGCTCCAGCCCTCTGATCATTATGGTGGCCCTACTTTGGGCTCACTCCAATGGGTCCATGTCTTTCCTGTAATAGGGGTCCTAGAGCTGGATGCAGCTCCAGGTGGGGTCTCTCATGAGCAGAATAGAGGGGCAGAATCACCTTCCTTGACTTTAAAGTGTTGTAACTGAAATACATGTCTTTTCTTGTTTCACAGGCTTTGTCAACCAGAAGCTCACCAGGCCCAGAGAACAACAATGCTGACCATCAGTGAGTATCCCCTGCTTTCATGGTATCTTCTGCTTTCATTTTATTTTCAGGGGGTGAAGGGACCATAAAGGGGAAAGCTGTTTCTGCATCCCTCACACTGTGCAAAAGAGGGGTGAGATTGCTGTGAAATGGTTTATAGCCTTAAATATTCTGCTGTTTTGCCAATTTAAAAAAATCTAGTAGCTGTGCTGCCTGAAAAAAATCCAGGCTTCATCTTAATTACAATGTAGAGATTCATTCCTGGTCATGAGCAATGCAGAATTTAAGGTGTCCCCGTGTCAGAGAGACACCTTGGAAGAGCTGGTGAAAAGCTTTGGAGGATTGCTCTAATGAGTAGCTCAGACCCTGGTTCACCCACCAGTCACCTGTGGGCTCTGCAGTGTGTGGAAAAGGAGAAAACAATCTCTCTGTTCCGCAGGAATCATAAGAGAAAGCCTATGAGATGCTCCCATGCTACTCCAGTTAGAGACATGAATGTCCCTTAGGGGCAGGGAATGGTGGGGACCTTCTGCACTGGGTGCCAAAAAAAGGAAACTCGAAATCTTCCACAAGCAAAAGCTACCATGCAAAAGCTACCAAGCAGAGTGTGCCTCCAGGTCTGCCTGCACCAAGAGACGGGGACAGTTTAACACATGTGTTAAAGAAACCCAGATGAAATGAAGAGGATTGAAAAAACATCTTAAAAAGTCACCTCCTTACACTAAAGAGCAATTCTTTTCAACACTGAGCTCTGGCTGTCATCCAGCCCTTCTGCTCCTGCAGCACTCTAGAGCAGACTAATCTGCAGATCCTGGCCATCAGGCTGTGTGACCTGCTAATGCTGAGCAGTGCCAGTGAATGTGTCAGGAGAGCCCAGGCACCAGCCGCTGTCCTCCCTCCCTCTTCTCCCCCTCCCAGCTGGCAGGGAGCTCACCTGGCAAGGCTGCTGGTTTCAGGAGTACTCAGAAAACACTGCCCTTGGCTTTTCTGACAGCAAGGCTTGTACAGGTGCTCTCATGGGGATTTTAACCACTCCTGGGCTTTCCAGCATCCTCAATGGGCTTTGGGCTATGATGGCAACTGAGCAGTCTCCTCTGGGGGTGCACAGCCAGCCCTGCCACAGCCCCACACCAAGCTCCCCAGCCTGCTGGCCCCTCACACCCTGCCAAGGCTTTCCTTTTCCTTCCCTCTGACATACAAAGGGAAGAGTCAAGACAGCAGAAACTGGTTTCTAATCTGGGATGACAGAGCAGGAGCTTATTTTCATTTAAATAACATTTACTGTACACCCATTGCAGAGCCCCATAGAACAGCTTATGTGTGAAGTGCCTGTACTGCTCAACATAAACGGGGCTGCAATTCCTGCTGGCAAGAACTATGCAAACATTTTTTGGGAAATGGCCCAGCACCCAGCAGAACTGCATTTTGAAGAAATCAAATCAAATCAAATCAAACCCCAGAAACGGAGGTTAATGTGTGTAGGTGTCTTCTCATCCTTCACATTTCTGTGGCTGGAATCACTCTAGATAAACACTCATGTTACAGACAGCAAAAGTCATTCTTGTCTTGATAGAGTTGCTGACTGAAGGAATTCCCATAAAGCCAATTAAAGGAAAAATAAATGTCAAGCAAGGAGAAAAAAAACTAGGTACAGAGACTTAATAGTGTGTTTCAGGAGAGCAGTCACGTGAGGCAGATGTAGGTGTGCACCTCCTGTACTGCCTATGTGACACCACAGAAGCATCTAAACCAGCCCCTGATAAATACCTTGGATGCACATGGGAACACAGTTGGATATGTTCCTGATTGGGCTGTGTTACTTCTTATCCCCCACTCCCCTCCCTGCTAGAGAGCAGTTTTGGGAACTGCTCTCTAGCATCTGGCAGTCCACGGGTGGATGACACAGCCCAGGAACGCTGTAATGGTTTTACAATTGCTGCCAAGGCTCGTGTCACTGGCAGCGCTACCAGGGCGTTGTTTTGACCCATTTTTCAGCTGCAAGGTCTTGCAGAAGGCATTTTAATGATTAACCCTGGACTTTCCCATCCTCAGCAAAATCATACAAAACACTGGCCTAGATTCACCCCAACCTAGTTTTCAGCCACTTAGCTCACATTTCTGCCTTGGAGCTTGTCACCTTAGCTGCCCGTCAGGGACATTGTCACCGGAGCCCACAGACAGCTCTGCCCCACACCAGGCAGCTGACTGACACAAGGGATGTGGCACTGCCAGCCATACCCACTGCTGGGATCTTGCTCAAAGGTGGTTTTGCTCACTTCTGCTCTTTGAATTTCCTTCTCCACATTGCATAGTTCACTGTCTTTCCATTTAATAGAAAACGCACAAATAATTCCTGCTTCCCTTAAGAATCTTTAAACACCAAGAGGCCTGTAGCTGAAATGGAATGCATTTCTTGATTTCCTCTTTCCTAAATTGCTTTGCTCTAGCTTCTTAAATCACTTTTATTGCTGCTTTCTAAACTCCCTCCAAGCTGTTAATAACTTTTTAGCAGTGAGACACCCAGAAGCCTGCCCAGTAATCCTGATGTCGCTGCATTAGCCTTTTTTTTCTTGCTGCACTACCATGCTGCAAATTCCCCTCTTGTATGCTTTTCAGTTAGCTCTTTCTCTCTCAGCTTTGCCCCTTTCCGGGTTTCTCTCCTTCCCCAGAACATCTGCAGACTGAAAATTTTTCCCCTTAACGTGCTGACCTGTTATTTTCTAAATCAGAAGGTCTAACAGCCCTCAGCTGGACTACATGTGTTTGAAGCCCTGACCTGCAGCCCTGACACATGGTGATGAGAGCAGTGAGGTGCCTCCTCTGCTGCTGGAGCAGCTGGAGGGGCATGGGAGCAGTCTTGTAGTCCACCAGCTTTTGCCCTATGCACATCCTGAGCTTGGGATTTCCCTGCCACAGCCTCTCACTAAATTCCAGGATCAGTAGAAAAAGCTGCACCAATGTGCCTTTGAGATCGAGGTTTAGGTTGGAATAGCCTCAGGAACTCTCTAATCCAATCTCGTAGCTCAAGCTCCAAGGTGGATCAGCTGTGAAGTCAAAGCAGAATACTCCAGGCTTTGTCCCATCAGGTCTTGAAAGCCTCCAAGGATAGAGCATGTGCTATCACAACCTGTTCCTCTGGTTGCTGTCCTCAGAGTGCAGAAATTTCTCCTTTTATCCAGATTAAAGATCTCATTTTTTAATTTATTTCAATTTCCCATATTAAATGATACAGAACTTTGCCACAAATATAGAAAGAATATGAACAGCAACTTGCTTTTTTGTTGCTCTTGAAAGAAACCCAGCCCTTTCTTTTCCCCTCAATTTTGGGGTATGCATGGTAAGTGAAGTTTACTTTTGTATTTTTAAAAGCACATCTATGTCTCAACGAGTCCCAATTTTACCTGGATATTTTATCCATGCAAACCAAAGCATTGAGAATAATTAACAGTGGGAAATTATGTAACTGCTAAGATAAACAATGGTTCTTCTGTGGGCCTGCAAGCAGGTTGCCAAGAGCTCTGCCTCTTATTCATCACATAAAATTAGTTTGAGGATTGTCACAGTGCAGCGTTTAAATCAGTAAATTGTGGTTTTAAGTCAGATTTCTGCACTTCCTTTTCCCATTCATGTTTTGTAACTGCTGCTGTATGGTTCGAGCTCTTGGACTTGTAGGTTTCTTCTCAGGTCTTATTTACTGCAGCGGAAATCAGGTTGCCTGGAGCCCCTCAGAAGGAAAATTAATAAAAGGAATAAGCAGAAGAGTCCAGTTGCTAAATCCTACTTGCTGACAGTAAAACTACTCATGAAGGGCATGGTGCAGTGTAAATAAGTGTAGAACACCCACACGACCCAGTGGCCACACCAGCTGGTCATCAGGTGACTCCAGGGAAAACATCAAACTATTTCTGACACACAGGGGGCATGGCATAAGCACAGCTCGGTGAGAGAGCTGGGCTGGGCTGGAACCTCTCTGACCAAGGCAGATGAGAGCAGAGGAAGGAGCAGGACAGCAGCAGGAGGCTGGCTGCTGCCTGTTGGAGGAACACTGAGGATGCTCCCTGGCCCAAGGAGAGCAGTATGAAAGCACCTCCTCTATAGGACAAAGTGTTATTTTTTTCAATTCTGATTCTACATTTACTTACCTGCTTTGAGGCAGCTTCTGTGATTTCATCTAATAAACAGGTCCTCATCTTTTTTCACTAAGGATGCTAATGACAAAATTCACTCCAGCTGCAAGACCCAGAGTGGGATAGATTTCATCCTTAGAAAAATAGTAATTCAACAGATGCTACATGATGAGTCTAGGACAGATCTGGAGCCATGCTACTGCCTCTTTGGCAACCAACTAACTGACAGACAAGCTCATTTATTTCTTGCTTGTTCTCCACTGGTAGATGGTCACAAAATCTTGGTTGACATGGCATGGCAGAGCCCTTTACAATTTGGATTTACCAGCTCAAGTCCCCACTTAGCTCTGCACCACACCATGACCTCCATTTCATTGAGCCATGTGCTCCAACTTCCAGAGATGACAAGCCTGACAGCCTGCCTTGCTCCTCCTTGAACCTCCCAGTTCCCTACTGGGCCAAGGAGGAGCACTCAGTTGCCAGCTCCTGGCTCCTCTCTTGAGTCCTGGAAGGCAAGATCAAGTACACTTAATTGGTAGCATTGAGGTACAGTGGTCTAAGCTTGCAGAAGCCTTTTCACTGTTCTCCCTCACGCAGGCAGGGACAGATTTCTCTTGTACCCAGCATAAACCACCTCTGAAAACACCAATAAACCCCATAGCAGTTCCCTTTGAATCATACATCAGTTCCCACTCATGGGAGAGTTGTGCTGATGTAAAAATAAATAAAAGCCATAACAGCAATTTGAGGGAGCTGCATTCATGTTTTGGTTGAAACTCAAATCCCTGACAAATACAAACAAAAAAAATCTCTTTCTTCATAAAACATTAAAACTAGTAACTAGCATAAAGGTTACACAGTCCTTTAGCTGAGCCTAACTGGAAGATTCCGAGCGTTTGATCTGGAGCATTGTAAGGGCTGTACTGTAATGAACTCACAGACCGAAATAGGCGCCAAGTGATAGCAAATGCCAGCAGGCAATGTGCCCATGGGGTATGGAACTAGACGTGACAGAGTAGCTGTGTCTCAGCAAGCCACTTGCAGCTCGATCTTTCCATTCACAAAAAAAATTAAGGGTCTTCTCATGTCTTCAGAGCCTGATTCTCTCTCACAACACAAATAACTCATTCCCTTTTGTGACAGGAGCCCAGAAAGCAACAGCAAGAAGCCATCAGGACAGTCCACAATATCATACGATTACTCGGAGGAGGAGCTCATGGCAAGCATCGAGCGGGAGTACTGCCGCTGAGTCCAGTCCCATGCCACAAGAACTTCAGGCATAATCCTGGAAGCCCAGCTGGAGCAAAACTGCTACTGACAAAATAACCCTTCACACAGAGAAATGGCACGGGAGAGGTGGGTGGTGAAGGGTGGTGGAGTGTAAGAGGCAGCATAGCTGCTTAGGAAGCATGGAGAGCATGGACCAACTCTGAGTGAGACCGTGAAGATCCTCATCAACTGCTGATTCCTGATTGGTGCCACTGGAAGAGGGACCAATTCATCTTGAGTACCAATATTTAGAAGCTCATTTCTAGATGCTATTTACAAATGGACATGTACTAGAATTGAAGTGTCATACTAGAAGTTTTGAAACATGATACTTTGAAAGAAGACCTTGCTTTGACTTAGTAGAAGAAAAATGCAGCCATATCATTTGATCCAGAAGTTACTTAAGGGTATGTTGCATGAAATTCATGTTCCTGCCACGTAATATGGGCCAAATGTACTCCTTGTGCTGTGCAAGCCTCAGGTCCAGGTCTGAATTTGGCACTGTCTCTTTCAATGTGGTCCCCAGTATGGGGGATAAGAGGAAAAGGGGACTGAGCCCACCATCCAGTACATAGGCAGTGTAATCCCAGAGTTCAAATCCCACCACAGAGGCAAATGAGGCTCCTGGGAGCTATCAGAGAACATAGGATTTGTATGATCCCTTTGGGGCAGAGTCCCAGCATAGGTGTCCTATTTGGGGCTCCTTGATGTGGATCCTCCAGTGAAAGCAGGATGCGTATCCCCATTCCAATCATTCATCTCAAGAGGGACTTGCATGCTCTTGTAGAAAGCAGCTGTCAGCGATCTGGCCTTCCCATGTATTTTGTGTCCTTGGTAGGTAACCTAGAAGAAAAACCATTACATTTTACTGTTAGCTGACTGCAAAGTAAAACAGAAAGTCGTCTCTCTGAAGAAAACAGTACATTTTCACTGCTCCCAGACAGGGAAGCCTGGCATTTTGGGGCTTCTGCTTTTATTTTACCTGCATCTTAACAACTGCTTATTATCAGAAGTAGAAAAATATCTTATTTCTACCTTCAGCTGAAGCATAAAAGGCATCAGATAGAATCTTCACCACGTGTAAATGCAAGAGGAAACAGTGGGACACCTTTTAGGATGCTAAGATGCTGTATTTTAAGTATTTTGTGATTCCTGGTACCTGTGAAACAGAAATAAATGCATTTGTACTCTATATAGCTCTCAGTGAAGGCATCAAATGTTCTGAAAAAGGCTCTCTAGGTTACATGGCTAATATGGTACCTGCAGAGACTAAGCAGAACACATTCTTCGAGGATGGCAGGAAGGATGCCGTGAGGGAGGCACTAGATGACACCCCTGGCACGCATCCTCATATCCCAGTTGTCTTTCCTGCAGCAGCCATGAGCGAGGCTGGGCATGGTGCTCTGCCTGGCAGCAGAGGTGGGCAGCAGGAAGGGAACCAAGGTCCTCCAAAGCTATGCAGGCTCAGAGGCAAGAGCTTGCAGCATGTCATCCAGGGGACTTTGGTAGGATGAGGGATAATTATTTTAAACTGAAAGAGGGTAGATATAGTTGGACAAAAGGAAGAAATTGTTCACTGTGAGGGTGGTCAGGCACTGGAACAGGCTGTGGATGCCCCCTCCCCGGAAGTGTTCAAGGCCAGGTTGGATGGGGCTCTAAGCAACCTGCTCCAGTGGAAGGTGTCCCTGCCCATGGCATGGGTGTGGGACTAGATGATCTTGAAAGGTCCCTTCCAACCCAGGCCATTCTATGATTCTCCATGGCTCAGAAATAGCTGGAATAGAGAGCATTGCTTACCCCATGCATTGCTTGGGGTAAGTTTGGTGACCCTCTGCAGCAAGGGCTTTCCAAAACTCCTGAAAAAAAAATCCAATTTTGAATGCTAGCACTTTACTTTTTTGATAGGAACAGTCATTTTTAGACCTATTAATGCCACTAAGCTGTGGCTGGAACAGAGTTTCTCTGCAAGTGTGTCAAGAGTCGTGACCAGATCTCCCAGAACTTATGTTATTTCTCAGCAGCTCTCAAAGACCTACTGGGATGAGCAAAATCTGCCTGCGGAGAGCAGAAAAAACATGGGAAGCTGTCTGACCCCAGCACCATAGGGCATGACAGTACTCTATACTCTTTTCTAATCACCGTAGTGGTTTAGAATTTCCTTCAACTTGGATCTCATTCTTTCAACTAAGACCTTCCTTCTGCCAAGGTCCCCAGAGTCTCTGGCACATGTGGGGAGATGTTTCGAGGAACTCAGTCACAGCAAACCAGAAGGAAAGCAACGCTGCTGTCAGACCATGCTGTAACGAGCAAGCAGGGACCAGGGCTCTGCCTCCACCCTGGGTCGCTCTGCCTGTGCCCTGCCTCCCCTCACAGAGTTTCTCTCTGAGGCTGTATTTGATGACTGGCCCAGGTAACAACCCTACAACCCATTTCAGGCTCTCCTAAAGGAAAGCCTAAGTATTAACAGTTACAGAAATTGACTAATCAAAAAAGTAACACCTTAACTGAATGTATTGTTAGGTTGCAAGAAGTCTCTCTTGACTGAACAAAGCGAATGAGTAAACTTTACAAAATTACCTTCTGAAATAGCCAAGAGAGAAGCATGTTTCTGCGCCTGGAACAAAGGTGCAGTGGGTTTCACAGGTAAACTTTACAGCATCACCAAAAGAAAAGGAGGAGCTGCAGGAACACAGGAAGGTCCAGAAAGGAGTGATGCAGCTGGGACAGTCACTGCACCAGGAAAAAGAGGGGAGAAAGAAGTTTGAGGATGCAAGGAGGGGCCTCAAACTGTGCCATGGTCTTGCAGGCTTTCTCTGTGCCATGAAACGATGTGTGTTCAGCACTGTGCTCTGACCACAGAGACGACCAGGACAGAGCAGCTCACAAACTGAAACATATCTGTCTTATTTTCATGCCATGCAGAACAGGACGGTGGTACCCAGCCAGCTTCCCAGCCTGCCCAAGAATCAATGGGACTGTGTTCCTCTCTCTGTGTCAAACCTTTACCCAGCAGCACACCAAAACAAGGTGGTGGCAATGGGACTGGTACCTAGGAAGGCACAATTGCAGTTTAATTGCCTGGTGTCAGTGTAACTCTATTTTGATCCATCCTTTGCTCAAGGAAAATAGGACACTAGATAATTTGCAGGTAAATAATCATATTAAAGCAGTAGTTCAGCCCATGACTAATTTCAAGAGAAACTTCTTGAATTAATGGCTTTTTAAAAATAAGGACAATTGCACTGTGGAGATCACATCTCAGGAAGTGAATGCTGACATCCCCCCACCAGCTGAATTATCGGAAAGTTCATTTTCTTTTCGTAGTATTTCTCTATAACCATCATCAAGTCACAACTGCTTGAAGGACAAAAAATTATTCAGCTTGCCAGTACTTCCTGCTCCTAAAACAGTTGCTGGAATTAAGCAGGGTTCTGGAGAGTTTCTCGTTCATCATTTTAGAAACTACCCTCCTGTTTAATACATGCAGCATAGGACAGGGTAGCTGACCATGGCTTTTCAGCTAACATTATTAATCTCCATTAATAAAACAGCAAAAGGCCAGTGTTTTAAACAAATCACTACATTATTCATCTAACAAAGACAAATGCTACATGCTGCATTTTGCACTAGTCCAAAAGGAGTAAGAAAACCAGTTGGCTGTCTCTACATACCTCCTATTACCACAGTTGCTGAGGGGACTGAAGAGGGTAATTTTTTCAGCTAATCATGAAAAATTACTCTTTAGTGCATGAGAAGATATTGCTACTTCTGAGCTTCTTCACTTCCACAAGTTCAGTTTTCTTACCTGGCCATGCAACAAGATGCCAGCTGAAAGGTTCTGGTGGTGAAAACATAGAACCATATTTTCTAAATTACTCAACCCAAGATCTTAAAAAACAAAACCAACAAACCTGAAACTACAGAACCAGTTTACACACTTACTCAGACTCTCGATTTCCCTCAAATCTGTTTTTCATGTGCAAACAAACACTTTGAATCCTTTCCTCCCTTTCTTCCTAGATGCCTTTTCTTTGTGACAGCGCTGCAATGCATATTGCCTTTCTTTGCAGAGCTCTGCCTTTCCAGTAGCCCGCTAAATGGGCAGAACTGTTTCCCAGAGAGCACCTAAGAAAACAGATCAGTGGTGGAGCAGTTTTAGGAAGCAAGTTATCTTTTACCTGTTCTGTAGTCACCCAGAAATCTCTTACAAGCTTCAAGAATTCATTTGGGAGCTGTAAGTAGACATGAGTGGGGAGGGTATCTGCCACCATCCCATTGCCAGGACCTCCAAGAGCAGAGCAACTAATAGTTCCCTTGTCCAGCACCCTGCTGTCATCTACTCACCTTCATAATAGAGGAAAAAGGAGGGTGGCACCCTCACCATCCCAAGGAATGCTCTTCCCCAACCCCTTTCCTCTGAGGGTCAAATTCCAACACACTTTCAGCCAAATTATTCGCACACATAACCCTCGGAGTCGAAAGAGCCTCTGCCCCAGCAAGGTGCAGGCCTGGAGCTGTGGCACAGGAGCGTCGTGCAGTTCCCCACCACACTTGGCAGGGAGGTGGAACACCAGCTGCCTGGCACAGACCACATCCACAGCAGAGTTCCCTCTCACCTCACTCTGGACACAGGACATGGCAATTATTTGCACAGGGTGAAAGTGAGTTTATCTGGACAATAATAACAAACAGAAAGGAAGTCACTCTGAACTCAAGAGACACTACAAAGGAGATAATTAAACCTAAGGTATTTTTCCTATCTAGGAAAAACTCTCTCAGGAAAGGGTATGCTCCAAACTCCTCAAGTTTTCTGCACGTCTAAGATGTGCCAAGGTGTGCCCGCGTGCATCAGAACATGAAAGTCACGAATTTTCTTCTCCTACACAGAAGGACTGAAGCAGAAAATGAGGAAGGCTGCATTTGACAGAGGATGGAAACAATCTGGAAAGAAAATGGCTCAGTGCTAACATACTGCAGGGAAGTGTACCCCAGGACTGCCCGGACAGTCAAGAGACATGTCTGAGGCTTTGCAGCTTCCCCCTGGACTGTCCTGCCATTTCCTCAGCCTGCAGGTTGCTGTGCTTTGAGTCATGACTTACTCTTCCTGCATGCATGGAAGTAGTTTACCTTCTCACAGCCAAAGCCTGCCTGCCTTGAGTTGCCTTGCCAGACACAAACGGAAGGCAAACAGGCAGATGGGCTCACAGATGAAACTTCAAAACCAGAAGATTTAACTTAGCAGATGTACTCAAGCCAGATGCAACCCTGAGGCAGGTCTCAGCTCATGAGATGACAGATGAAGGGCCACCTTCATCAGCCACAGGATACCGAGTACAGCTTTCTCAGCTGGAAAGGCAGAGGTAGGCAGAGCTGTGGCCACAGCCAGAGGAGCACACCAAGTGTGCAACCACCTGACAGCATGGACCACCTCTGCCCACTCTGCTCTCTAGCTTCATAAGGGATTCACTCTCGGAGTATCCAAACTGCAAGTGGATCAGTGCTCATCAATTTGCAAGACCAGGGAACCTACCGCTGAGCTGAAGGTTTGGCTGTACAACGACACAGTGTGGTGTGTGTGACCACAAGCAATGCCAGTCTGACTGCAAAACATAGCATTAAGCCAACAGATAGCTTTGGGCACAAATGCATTTTCCTTCAGAAAATGATTCCTTTTCATGGATTTAGAATGGCTACAGGACAGAAATCCTCAACAATGCCTGTGTCAGCACAGGGGTAGCTGGGAAGGCTTCCTTGTGTGCAGACCGTTTCTCTCACAGGATGAAGCTGTTTGAGACTCCAGCACCATTAAGATGTGTATGGAGTGCACCTCTTGGCTGCATGGAACAGCTCAGACCACAGCTTGGTGCTAAGGAGAAGCAGAAAGATGAGCAAAGAACTGTGAAATCCATCACCATGTTTCATATAAACAAGGCCAGGGAGACAATATAAAAATTGGCAACAAAAAAAAATACAAGTATTGTTTAGGATATGATTTGATGCTCAGAAAAATCTTCCTTGAAAAATAATAGTAGGGACAGGTAGGACAACCTCCTCTGGGAAACAAAGCTCTACACTAGACCTGTAGAGCCCACAGGCTGAAGAATGTGGGCCATTCTGCCAGAGCATTGATCCTGCAGCAAAGACTTCCCTTCCAGTTGTTCTCTTGGGGGGGAATCAGAACCATCCGTAAGA